TTGTTTTGTTTTGTGTGTGCTTTTTCTTTTCTCTTTTGAGCCTCTGACAGAAACAGAGCTCTACAAACTTTCTGGCGACCTCCCAGGAAAACAGAAGGAAGCTGTATCCTGTACTTCCCCTGGGATCTAATGAAATATACAGCCTCTGGGCTTCTTTCAATTTGGACTTTCAGATTGCTAAGCCAGTGAAAAGGGGATCCTAGCTGTCACAAACGTCACATGGTCAGGGTCACCTGCTGCTCGGGGGTTCTCATGCCAGTTGTTGACATAATAAGCACCCCTTACACTTTAATTACAATTCACAGTGTGCAAACTATGCAATCTGCTTTAAGGCAGACTGTCTTTTAAATCAACACTAAAATGCTATTACTAATATGGCAATGAAATGTAGCAGAGGAAGGGTATGTCCAGAGAACCAGCTCTATGCAGATATCAGCCATGTGGGGAAGACGTGGGCAGCATTTGCCAAAATATAAAATGGTATGACTGCCCCTAATTCTGGGAGCTGGTACTCTAACCTGACTCTGCTCAGAGACTTCTTATGAGTGGGCAATAAAAATGCAATACAATATACTTCAAGTGTAGCATTTTTACATTGGTATAGCCACTGTGCATTTCTTTCTTTCTGTTAATATGGAACGCTTCACAAATTTGCATGTCATCCTTGCGCAGGGGCCATGCTAATCTTCTCTGTATCGTTCCAATTTTAGTATATGTGCTGCCGAAGCAAGCACTGTGCGTTTCTTTTTCGCATAGGGCCTTAGCTATTCTACAGTCTATCTCACCAGTCCAACAGGAACACTCCTCAATTGTCACAGGACAGGAAGTCCCTATTCCCCCATGTCTCCCCCTTTAAACCTCGGGCAGCACTAGAGATGTTTAGCACATGCTCCTAGAGTTGAGTTGATGCTCTATCATTTACTGGATCCTTCTGTTTTGCTAACTACAGACCTGTGTAAGCTATATTCTTGTAATCAAAACATGAAAGGTCATTTTAAAACAGAGCCCATTTAAAATAATATGACAATGCAGGGAGCTGTTTAAGTGCTAACACATAATTACAGTCTACAGTTTTCTCCAAAAACAACGGTGGAAATTAGTTACAATTCTATTACAGAGAACTACTATAACAGAGAACTACTATAAACTTAGGTGGGCTAACCTTTGAATGAACTGCCGTCCTAGCACTTTGGGAACTGCAATGTCATTCTCAGTGCCACAAATGACGTAAGATGGAACACATGAAATAAACCCACACAAAGTACTTTTATGTTTATAAAAAGTCTTACTCAAACACCTTAGCTGATCTTCAGGTATGCTTCACTGTAAAATACCACCAGCAACAACAAATAAACAGACAGACAAAACAGAAGAAATCCAAACTCACCAAAATACTAAGTACATTTTTAAAAAATAATAATAATGCATACGCTTTCTTCAATGAAGGCTGTACCTGAATTACAAATGCCATCAAGCCAGGTGTGATAGTTCATGCCTGTAATCTCAGCACTTCACGAGGCCAAGGAGGGAGAGTTGCTTGAGTCCAGGAGTTTGAGACCTGGGCAACACAGCAAGACCTCATCTCTACAAAAAATTAGCTAGGTATGGTGGCATGTGCCTGTAGTTCCAGCTACCTGGGGGGTTGAGGTGGGAGGACCACTTGAGGTCAGCAGGTCGAGGTTACAGTAATCATACCACTGTGATCACACCACTGCACTCCAGCCTAGATGACAGAGTGACACCCTGACCCCTCCAACCAACAAAAGAAAACTAAAAAAAAAAAAAAATTTATTTTATCAATATAGGTCAAATTAGCCAACAATTATTCACTTTTTTCCCTTAGTGTCAGACAATAGTAGATAACTGAGACAAATAGCAACAACAGACAAAAAAAGCTTATTTTATTTAGATATGGTTATTCTAACACAGGGAGCAGATGGTAGCTGCACCTTCCTTTCAAAAACACAAGTTTCTTTGGGCAAACTTTTAGTCCTTGGGCTATTGGGGATTGGGGTTTATCTTCACAAAGACAGACACAGAGCAATTTTATTCTTTCTCTGATTTGAACAATTGTCATCCTCACCTGGTTCTCTGCCACCCTGGCTGAACCACTCAGCTTCCAGTTGTATAACAATTCCCATCTGTGAGCTCAGCCATCCTCAGGAGACAAGAAGGGCTATTAGTAGCTCAAGTTCATCACAGGTCATAGCATTAAGCCACCCCTTCAGCTCTGACCTGTGCTCCAATTTTGGTGTAATAATCTGTGTCGTGTCATCTGACAAGTATGCTCTACTCTACGTGCTAACTTCTATACTTGAGTTTGGTCAAACTCCCTGGCTCAGCTGGAACTGAAGGCATTGACTTGGTGTTCCCTACATGCTTCCCCAAAACACACTTCTGGCACTATAATCCAGGCTAGCACCTGGAGCCCTGTGACCTGCTAGTAGACTTCTCTGGGGCTAGCCACCTGCCTTGATTACTATCACCTGCCCGTGATTATTGTCACTTGCCTAGATTACTTCTCCATTTCTTGGTTCTGTCCAGCTTTGGGGACATTCACCTTCAGCCAGCTAGGCCTCCTTGTTGTATACTGCTCCACCAAGCTACCAGCCTGATGTCCATATTCACACCATTTGCAACCTCTTGTGATGGATCTGAACTTCTTTACAGAGCTTAAAAACTGGACCAACCTCAGAAGATCAGCCTCCACATGAAAATGTTAGGTCCTTGTCCTTGACACATCTCACATCCCAAGATATAAACCCCATGTGCCAATTCTCTTTTCTTTTCCTGGGTGGGAAGGAAAAAAACATCGCTAAAACTCTGAATATAAACAAGAAATCGAGTAGAAGTTCACGTATCCCATACTGTTGGGGGTTGATAGTTAATTGGCTAATCTGAAAAGTTGGATAAGGAAGATAGTTTCTTAAATGAGACATATGCATCTTAAACATTTTATTTTATTTTTATTTTTATTTATTTATTTTTTTGAGTTGGAGTCTCACTCTGTCGCCCAGACTAGAGTGCAGTGGCTGCTCCCAGCCACCGCAGCCTCAACCTGTTGGGCTCCGACGATCCTTCCGCCTCAGCCTTCCAAGTAGCTGGAACTACAGGCGCGTGCTACCATGCCCGGCTAATTTTTTGATTTACTGTAGAGATGAGGTCTCACCAAGTTGCCCAGGTGCGTCTCGAACCCGTGGGCTCAGGCAATCCACTCACCTCAGCCTCCCAAGGTGCGGGATTACTGGCTGAGCCACGGAGTCCGGCTCATCTTAAACATTTTAACTTTGAACACATATATGTGTATTCCTTGGCCAATCTTTTTTGCACAGAGATAAGAACTTAACTTTAATAATAAGTCTGTTAATTGGAGTTCTACTGTGTCATTCTTAAATAAATCATACCTATACTGCATAAGATTTCCAGTTCTGTTTGTTTAAAGTAGAAGGAGAATTTAAAGATACTTCTAAAATAAACTAAGCACAGAACTCCTTTATATTTTTACAAATTTCTCTCACCTTTTATAGTTGTTTCACTCAAACTTAATCTGACAGAAATTTTTGTAACTTACCTTCACTGAGTCTTTCCAAAGAACTGACTTAGTTTCATAAAAATAAAACTTTCATTTTGAACTTGAATGCCATTGGTTCACATAAATTTAATGGAATTACATAATAGCAATACAACCAAGACTAGCATAAACAGGTCTGTGACTAACGTAACTGACTTTTGGTAAGCACACACTGGTAAAAACAGTAGTGCTAGGGTGTGCTAAGAGGTAACCACGTGCATTCAACATGCCAAAGGCATCAGTTAGTATAAGACAAAGAATATTAAATCTTAGTTAATCTTGCAAGCTGGTTACACGGAGCTTCTCCTATGAGGATCCATTCAAAAATATATAATTCGAATGATTGTTGGGTGAATATTATGAGCAGAAATTGCTGCTTGCGTAGCGCTTGATGCTAGGATACAACGTTGAAAAATATTATCTTTTCCAACATTCTGGTATAGTCCTCATTTCTAATAATATCAAGAAACAATGACAAATAATGATAAGAACTTCTCATTGGAGTCACTATATTTTAAAGGGTAACTACATTGATAGCTCTTTCCACCAGCTACAGGAAGCTAAATATTCAAGTTGACCCAAATGTATTTAAAGCACAAGGTAAATAGCTCCTAATATAGTATTTTAAAATTCTAAATTATATTTATACTTTTGCTGTTTTATACCACTATCAGAATATCATTACTTCTGTTCTCATTTAAATATGTGATTGGTGAAGTACTTTTTTAAAATTAGAGCTAGTGTTAATAAAAAATTAATTTCCAGCCGGGCTCAGTGATTCAGCCTGTAATCCCGTGCTTTGGGAGGCTGAGGTGAGTGGATTGCCTGAGCCTGCGGGTTCGAGACCCACCTGGGCAACTTGGTGAGACCTCATCTCTACAATAAATCAAAAAATTGGCCGGGCATGGTAGCGCACGCCTATAGTTCTAGCTACTTAGAAGGCTGAGGCGAAAGGATCGCAGAGCCCAGCAGGTTGAGGATGCGGTGGCCAGGAACGGCCACTGCACTCCAGTCTGGGCGACAGAGTGAGACTACAACTCAAAAAAAAAAAAAAAATTAATTTCCATTTAATATTAGTTGGTTTGACTATTGAAAACAATCACATAAATAACAGTCATGACTTTTTCTATTTTATGATTTTCAGGTTAATATAACTATTACTTTCCATGTGATTGTACTTAAGAGCAATCTTTCAGCAACAAAAGACATAATATCAACCTTCTGCTTTTTATCAGTTTACTTATCGGCTTCAAAACAGATGTACTACATAACTGTGTACACACATATGACAATGATGATGATGATAGTAACAGCCAGCATTTACTGCCTAGATATAATAACAATGGCCAGTTCTGTGACCTAAGTGATTTACACATGTGTAACTTTCCTGGCAACTTTGGCAAAGTAAATATTACTATCCTCGTTTTAGGTTAAAGAAACTGAGACAGCACTAAGAGAAAAAGCTGGAACTCAAAAACACATTAACTTAGATCTTCCCCCTTCAACCAGTTCTGAGTGTGTGTGTACATGTGTGTATAAAGAGATCACAGACTTTCCTTTCCGGTGAAATTTTTGTACAGATACGTGTGCATGTAGGCCTATGCGCACATGCACACACACAAACATAGACACACACTTTAGTTAAATCAATTTCACATGCAGAAGAAAAGTGAGCCAGGGCTAAGTTATTAAAAGAAGCCTTTGAAGCAGGGAGCGATGATGTGTGAAAGACATACCACAAAAGTTAATTTAAACAAAGAACAAGCACAGAGGGGTGGAACAAAAGTGAAAATAAGGGGAATGAAAGCTCTCCATCTTTTCTCTGTGTGTATGGATTTCTCGTACATGGGAAAAGCAGCAAAAAAGTGTTGTCTGCCGTTTATGGACTATGCAGAAGGAAAGTTAGTTGAAGTTAGAGTCAGAGGAACCAAATCCACTGATTTTCAATGAAGTTTTTCTATGCCAAACACAAGGATATTTATTCTATAGTAAGATCCTTAATATTAAACATAATTCCTTCTAAGAAAAAAAGTTCAAGGTAAGATTTTTACAAATATTCTTATGGTATCTTTTTCAATTACATGCTATGAGAGCAAAATCTTCAACTTGGCTTCAGGGCATCACTCATAATGCCCTGCAGAACATTTCAATATCCCAGTGTATATTTAAACAGGCACTAAACTGGCCCATGATTTTCTTACTATTTAAATTTTTGTCTGGTCATCTTAATTGAAAATGAAAAATGCAGCCAGTCGTACAGAGATTATATTCATCACACACACACACCATCCAGATCATATGGAACTGACATGGTACTTGTAGAAATAAACATTCCCTTTTTAGCAAAACAAAGTCAACGTTTAGATTGCTCTTGGGAAGCTGAAATAAAAAGAGTGGCCAAAAAGTTGCAAAGGAGAGAGGTCTTCTAATCTGAAGTTAAAAATAATTTTGTCTGCTTGCATTTAAACAGACATTATAAAAGTCTTATAGCGAACCCTTGCTTGCAGAAGGCATTATTGCCTTTGAATATAAATGAAAGCACATTTCTAGCACTTATATTATTACAAATATTGTAAATGGACTCCAGAAGCTTTTAGCAATGCACTCTTTGTCTTGTTTCCAAAAAAGCAATCCAATTAAAATGATCATTTTCAGTACAGAGGACTAGGATAAGGAACCATACCTTGCACCCAGCATCTTTCAAACACTATGGAGGGGAAAAAAAAAAAAACCTTATGGAAAATAGACTTAAAACTTCCATATACTTTCTGTGTGCTTATGCTAACTAAGCATAATTTACATATATTTTTCCTAGAAGAGGAACTGCATGTGTTTTTCTGCCTCTTCCAGTAAGTATCCACCCATGATGATTCCAACCTTCCTTGAATTCACTATTTCACTAGTGTATCTTGTGTACTCATACTGTCAGCAGGAACATGGCAATGAATGGCATTCATTTTGATCCATTTCTTCCACCTCTCCAAGTTGCACTTCCTTCATCCAATAACAAATACCCATGTTAAGCATACAGAAGACACCTAATAAATGTGTTGGCTTGATTAATTTGCCTGTGGTAGGACTGTTTCATTGTTTGTAGTAACTGCAACATTTGGTTAGCAAGCTTTTTGGTTTATAAAAGCATTAGTTTATTGTGTTCTTACGTTCTAAAGTTTTTCCTCACTTAATTCTATAAATTTAACTCTTACGGCCATTTTTGCAATCAATAAATATTTAGTAAGCATTTTTTATGAACTGTGTTTTTAAATAGTTTACACTACAAATGGTGCTAATGAAATTGTAAAGTAAAAATGTATTGTTTTATGTCTTTCAGGATATATGTCATATAAAAGATGGATGCCTTCCCTTTAAGAGTTTTGAATGGATCACCAAATAATTACCTGCTTTTCTCACACAACACAGATAAATAATTAAAAGGAGATATACACAGATTGGTTTCATACTTAAGAGTGAGAATCAATTAAAACAAAATTGGATGCCAGCTCTTCCAATAATATGCCACTTCAGGGACTGTGAGATGCTACCTTCACATTCGTAAAATCATTAAGGTCAGATTAGAGCTTTACTGCTGTTGCTTCATGATAATTCAGAGGTGGGTGTGCAGAGAGGTATGAGGAATTGAGGGAGGGGATTTAATTGGCAAATTTTAAGTTACTAATATGTTTGTAATTAAGTGCTTTAAACGTGTCTTATAGTATACCCCAGAAACAGTCATTGAATATTTATTGAGCCTGCCTAAAGTTTCTTGTTTAAGTTGGTACTGAAGTTAGAACTGCAGTGTGGGCATCTTCCACAAAGAAACATCTTGATGGGGTTTAAATAAACATTTAAAGCCCTTCATGGATTGTCTTAGCACTCTTCCGTGCTACTTAACAATAGACAACAGTTCTGCTCCAACCAAAAGGACACAGAGCCTTAGGAAGAGGTCACTCTTGGAGAGACAACACATCATAAAGGAAAGGCGTTACTTTTCATTTAGTTCTGTGGGCCAATTCAAGCCTGGGGATTCCAGACAGCCTGCACCCCTCCCTCTTGGGGCTGTGATTTAATATTAGCGAGCTGTCTGCTTTGTACATCAAGATGTTTTTGTGCATGAAGTTTTCCAAAATCCATCTCACCCAGAGTTTTTAGTTAAAAGCACCATCTTGTGTTAAACACGCATAGATCATAATCAGATTCCCAGTGTTACACTGTTACCTCATTTTCCCTCCCGAATCCATCTACCTAACGTCATGGTTGATTGTGCAGAGGTGTGTCTCTTCAGCTGGAGGGAGAGCTGGTTGAGGTCAGGCCTTTATTTCTTCCCTGCACTAGTTCAGTGGTTGACACAGAGGACTTGGTAAAACCTGGCTCAATAAGATTTTTCAGAATTTCCTCAGACCCTATATACATACAAGAAATATTTGAAACTCTTGAGGAGGAAATTTAGACCTTTAAGGGTTTAGAAATAATGATGAAAGATAACATTCTCACACACACAAAAAAGTTTAAAGCCAGGAAACCCTTCATAAAGAAGTCATGAGCATACTTATTCTCTTATTTAATAAACATCAGAAAGTTCTCAGGATCATGCTGCCAGTAGCCTGCTTCTGGCCCTGAGACGAATACCCCTTTCCAAGCTAAAACCATTGCCCAGCTGTGAAAGAATGATGACTGCAAGGAATCCAATGGTGGCAGCAAACTCAACTCAAAGGCCCAATATTTGTAGGCATCAAACAGACACTCCAGTGAAACAACAGTGGGAGCCAGATGTCGGCCAGGGCCTGAGGGCTTCCCTCTCACCTCCCCTCTCCCTCAGAGCTGCTTTCCTCCCCCACCGATTAAGGGTGGCATCAAGAGCAATTACAGCATGCCCCGATGAACTGTGCCAGGCAGGCAGCTGTAACACCTGTCACAGGGCCTGCATGACATTAGCAAGGACCCAGAAAGTAGCTTTAATGAGCTGACCCTGCAACAGGCAGAGCCTAGTGCGGTGCTATGCATGTTGTGACTGCTCACTGCACCTAGAACTAGACTAAACACAAAACTCCTAAAGGCCCGGCTCTTCCGAGGATCACCCCATATCTGGGAATAAAATATGAAAGCCTGTGACATGCACACTTCACCCAATGTCTACTCAACATCTTGTCCATCTGGAAGTGTTTATCAGTGTCATTTAGGTGAGGAACTTAAGGTGTATCTTGACATCCTTTTCATAGTGGAGTTGTAACTTAAGGAGTCGTAAGCTCCAAAGACAAGGAGCATTTCTTACTCATCTAGTTCTTCCCGGTGCCCAAAAGCCATGTACATAGCAGATGACTGGATGGATGAACAAAGCATGCAGATTACTTAATTCTTACAAAACATATCTATTAGGAGGCAAATAATCAAAAAAGGAAAGTGGTTCAGAGTCAGAAAGACCTAATTGTGGTTAACTGTCAACGTTTATAGACAAAGGGAATGATTTCAGGATGCTTGAGCATCCAAGACACTGGCCTGTAAAAATAGTCCTACAAAATGCTTAGTCAACTTAACAAAATCACTGATATACTAGATATGAAGGCTACTAGTGAAGAATTACATGAAGACTACCTGAACGAATGAGATGAACCAGTGAGCCAATTTGTGTAAAGAGCCCAGCACACAAAGTCCAAGAGTAAGCACTTGGTGCATGGTAACAATGATTATACTTCTGATAATGCTAATTAATAAGAGAAGCTAGGCTAGTGATAATATGACCTCCATGTGAAGGTATTCTACCTTCATAGGGGATATTATGCACCAGGACACAAAGACAATTGCTTCCAGATTTTTTTTTTAGGAGATTGAAGATGTTTTAGTCTAATCATTTTTCAGAAGAGGACACTGATGCCTCTAAAAGAGTAATATACCTGTATCTGAAGTCACACATCTAGCTTGAAAGTCAAGTGACTTGAATGATCAGTGATTCTGTTTCTTTTTGCCTAGAGAGAGCCATAATACCTAAATTCTGTCAATTCTCATTGTCATGACAAATGATGAATCAAGAGTCTTGTGTTAGGTATTTGACACAATGGTTCAGTATAAATCCACGATAATATTACCCTTTCAAAATAACATTGATGATGATATCTACTATTAATGGTGCTACTAAAACAACAGTCATTACCACAACTATATTTGCACCTTGCTGAATTTCTGAGAGATCCTGAAAATATGAATACTTGTAAAGAGGCTCCAGTTCCTCTTTTTAAACAGCATTATTATTAGATCTTCACAACAGGATAGCTATATTTAAATACTAAGTGGCTTATGAGTCATACCTTCCAAAATAAAAATGTTCACTTCCATATGCAAAGTTTGTGTCCAAATTGTGGACACAGAAAGCAGCCACTAGAAAATAGTGGTTTTAAATTACATATACCAGATTTGGTTATTTTGATTATTTGGGGTTCATACAGGGTTTATAGGATTTCACTCAATTTATGGGGTTCAGATGACGCTCATAGTGAATGTCACCTGAAACTTTTCACACTGTTTTAGCATTAACCAGGGATTGAGTGGTTTATAGATCATCCAAAAGAATTTTGGTCTTGGACTCTGGCCGTGAACTCGATGCATGTAAATTTCAAGTGAATTTATATCACAGAGCAACTACAAGTTTTTAGTAACTGTCTCTATTTTCTTATTTTTGCTATTTTAAATGAAAACTATGAAGTAGCTACATGTAGAGGAGAATTTGATAACCCAAAGTTTAAAAAATAAAGAAATACAAACTTAAAGAAATAAAAACTCTTGATATTTATATAATATTTCACAGCTCATAAAGAGCTTTCACATATAATAACTTATTGAATGCTAACCATTGATCTTTGTAGGATATGATCAAATCAGTATTTATCCTAATATTATCTCAGACTCTTCACCTATGTAATTATACATTTTCTAGCTGAAAATATTTATGAGGAATAATAATCAATTATTAACAGCATTTATTTTGTAAACAAATATTAAACAAAGCTATTTTATGGCAACTTTCCCCTGAAGAACAAAAGCTTGGACCATAATATATGGACAATATTTTCATGCCTACAGTTAGGACTTTGAACTTTAAAAAATTTACTTTATATTTATGGAAATGTTTTCAGGGGATGTTATAATGAAGTTTTACTATGTATACCATGTTTAAAGAGCAAACACAATGAATGGATACTTACAAAACAAAAATTATACCCCTCAATTTAATTCAGCATACATAGTTTATTAGATTTTAGAATGGTGTCACAACTTTCACTTAAGAAAAAGCCAGCTAAATTTCTGGGTTCAAAGTCAGCAAAGATCCAGCTATGTTCTCCTTTTATTAAAGTATAAAATGTCATTTTTGCTTACATTTTGAAGACTGAAATTTATCCCAGGCATCTTTCTATACATAATGTGTATTTGAGTTGGAAGGCTCTAGCAAGACAACATTTAGTTCAATTTATTTCAATCTGTTGAAAGTGATTGATGAGGAAAAAGTGTTCATATCTCTAATATAGCTCAGATAATAGACTGGCAGTTCCTATTTCTCAGTCTACTAATAGTTGACAGTCTAAATTTAGACAGGTAGAAATAAGATTTTAGGATAAATTCTTGAAGTCTGTTAGGTGCATGGAGAAAATGCATTTATGTGAAGCAAAATATTATGGCACTTAAAAGAAGGGGGATGGGACTCTTTTGTTTGAGGAAAAATTCAAGATTTGGGCTTATAGCCAGAACTCATGAATAATCTGGGGTTTTTAAACAATCAATTATGAAAATCACTAACACACTGTCACATTATTTGAATGCTACTCAAAAGTAAATAATGCCTACTCTTCTGAGAGTTTCTGACCCAAATCTAGGTGACTATAGTGTAGTGGATTACGTGCGTCCATCACTTTGTTTATAATTCATAACTATATAATTAAGCCCACATACTCGTTCAAGGTCTACAACAGCTAACCCCCTAGGCCTTCAGCTTTCCCACACACAGCCTCTCTCACCTATCCTGGCAGACCCAGGCCTCTGGCTGTGAAGAAAACCACAATGTGGGGAGGAAAGCCTACAAAAGAATGAAAACAGAAAGTGTCTCAGGCCTTGGCAGAAGGACACTAAATAAAATAGAGAGTGGTGACTCATTTTGGCAGTGAATCCACCTCAACCCCTTCAAAGCCTTTGGCAAGAGTCCTCAGAGGAGACCCCAGCCTTTTGCCAAGCCACAAAACACCACAATTATTATCACAGCAGTCATCAACAAAACAGATTTTGTAAACTGACTTGTTGGCACATAGATTAAAGAAGCTATAAAAAGGAATAACAGCTGTTTGGGTTGCCCTATGCAGAAAGCTACTATATAGAAAGTAAATCTTATATTTCTATACATACTTGGGTAGACACAAGCACACACACACACCCCATGCACTAATTATATATGTATGCTATGTAGAAAAGGATAAAATGCTAAATACACCACCACATAAATTTAAAACACAAACAACTC